CTCACCCATGCACACGCTCACACTGCACGTTCACACACATGCACACTCACCGGCACACGTGCATACACAGAGACCTGCACACACTCAACCCCCCCCACATGCACATGCACACATGCATGCTCACCCATGCACACACACACACTTGTGTGACATGCACCCCCGTTCTCTGCCTTGCTACAGAGGTGAGAGGCCACTCCTCTGTCCTCATACCCATGCCAGCCTCGACACATTTCTGACCAGAGCTTGTGAAACCTCTTTTTCATATCCCCAGGTAAATGACACTCAGGGCTATAATTTAACTAGAATGATCAACACCTGCTTCTTTCTTTTTAAACATCACAATTTTGTACCTGGAAGACGAATGCTTCGAGATTTGAAGACAAACAGTTCAGGAATACACTGAGATCCGTTGATGTTCCCAGCAAAGAAATTAAATTGCTTAGACCTACAAAGAAACAAAACAGAACAAACAGAAAGATTTGCACATACCGCAGCAGAATTTCTCTGCAGATATTTGTGTACTGGGTAACCTAGGGGACAATGTCCGAACAATAGTTCAAAGGGATTCCCCAAGGCCTCGCTCTCATTCTGAACACAAAGTCTGAGCTCTAAGGCTGGATTTGTCACCTCTGCAGTCATGCAGCACAGAGTCATATGGTCATGTGGCTTATGAACCACTGCCACCACTTGTTGAAATGGAAACAATAACTACACCTTGTAATTACACAGAACCTGTGTTCAGATGAGCTCACTGCACCATACAGACATGACCTCACCTGTCCTTGCCATCTTCACAAAAGGGCTAGGTTATTAATGTCATTTACATGATGGTGGACATCAAAGCCACTGAGAGATGGTAAGCACCTCACCCCGGGTTATGTGCTCAGTTAGGTGGAGCCCTAGTGAGCGAGCGTGATGTCAGGTCTTGGGTCCTCCACCTGCACAGGTAGCACTGGCAGAGAAAGAACAGTCTTTGGCCTTCCCACCTTCCTGAGTACCATTGAATACCAAGTAGAGTTTAGAGAACCAAGTATGTTGCTGTGGCCCCAGCTGAGGCTTGTCAAGGTGCACCTGGACTTTGGAAGCACTGCCTGCCAGGTATTGCTTTGGTTATCAGTGTGCCCAACTCCACATCCTCTTGGAGGGACACATGAGGATGCCAACAGGAGCACAGGGGCCCTGGGTAGGCCAGCGGGCAGCTCTGCAGGCACCTGGAGGGCCTCATGCCCTCCTGGGACTCCCTGAACCCAGGCTGGGACAAGAATGGAGTTTGAGTGGCCAC